TTACATTATTAATCCACACTTGGTTTTTGTTTTGTTTTGGGTTTTTTTTTCTGTTTTAATTTGCTGTTATACCTGTCAGTGCAGAGTTTTCTCTTAAGTTCACCAAGGCCTTCCTTAAAAGCAAGAATCATCAAAGTTATTAAGATTAATTATCCAGGAGCTGTGAGTGTTTTTGTAATTTAAATACATGCTGAGATTTAAGTACTGAGCTCATGTGGATAGATTATTCACACTATAGTCTCTTATTATTTTGTAGTAAATAGCAAATAGTATTGTTGTTTTTTATTTTTTTGTCTTTACTTGTGTGGAGGACCAGAGGAAGAATATGGTTTGGGACAAAGTTACTACCGATGTTATCATGTTGATCTTAATTTCACTTTTTATTCCCTTTTCCTGGTAACAACTATGGTGCTTGGGCTTTTTTGACCTCTGAAAGGGACATGCCAGAAAAAGTTTGTCAACCACTGCAGTAATATAACCTCACCAAGAGAGTGTGTGTGTGCGTGAGTGCGTGTGTATACATGTGAGGACAGAAGATTGGCATGCTACTATACTTATGGTGACAAATTGCCTGTCCCATGAGTCTGAAGGCATTTTTGAGGCTCAAAATGCGGTTTTAGTGTCAAAGTTAAAGTTAGGTTATGGTTAAGTTTTGCGTTAGAGTTAGGCATTCATTTTTGATGGTTAGGGTCAGCAGCTAGGTAAAGCATTATAGCACTGAGATGTCGTCACTAAGATATGAAAATGATTGTGTGTGTGTGTGTTTGTGTTTGTGTGTTTATATAAGACCGAGAGGTTTGCTTTCTTCCTCTAGTTCAGGACTGAATTTTGGGTGGTGGTGGGGTGGGGTGGTGGGTATATGATGGATCAAAGTTTGTATTGCCATAGTGACCCTGAGCAGTGGGAATTTCAGATCTCTGTTCTTCATTTGTGTGTATGGTTTTCTTGTAGTTTTTGTTTAATTTCAGTTTGATTCCAGAGGGGATTTTCACATTTGTATTTCTTCTCTATCTGAGGGAGAGTATTTGATCTCTTATTTAGTGCTGCGTATACTTCTATCCTCAGTGCCTGATGACCTGAGTCCAGAGGAGCGTCAGGAGCTGGAGAGCATCCGGCGCAGAAAACAAGAGCTGCTGCAGGACATACAGGTAAGAGTACACTCACATTCTTTGTCCGAGCCAGTAGATGTCCTTTCCAAGCTGAGCTCATCTGGGGTTTAAAGCATGAAAGTCTGAAATATGTCTTGTTTTATAATTATCTAATCTAATTTATTGTGGAACGGATGTAAATAAAGTCACTTGTTTGTGCATCAGAAACTCAACCACTCTTTGTCCCAATACAATTTCATTTACTAAGCATCCATCCATAATATTTCAATCATTATTATTAAAGTTGGAAGAGTAATCTTCCAGCAGAACCAGATCCTTTGTTGGCACCTGTCCACCTCCACTGGTTGGGCCAATTCTGGTGCAAAAAGATGTGATCAAAAGGTTTCAGGAATTGGCCCATGGAACCCCCTCCGCCCCTGAAAAACACTTAACCCAGATTTAAATTTGACTGACCTTTAAAGTCATCTCCTTGTGTTCTGATAGCTTGACAGTTATCTTTCAGCTTGCTTTGTATTTAATCAGAGTCGAGAAACTCTTAACTCTCATGATGAGTAGGGCAGGCGGTGCTAGTGTGACTTTAAAATTCAGTCAACCTGATAAAAGTCCCTGCCTGACCTCCTCCGAATCAGCTGCTTTCTTTCTCTAATAACTTTAAAAAGTTGTGCAAAATTCTACCTTCACATAATGAAAACCGACTGAATTACTGACCCTTGAAGTACATAGGGTTGGTTTGAAATTAAGTTCTCTTATTTCTTTCAGCATTTCAGCATCCCTTAAAGATCTGATCCCTTGAGGTCTGCTAAAAAACAAATCTATTTTGCACCACTTTAAATGTCATGGTCTAAAGTCAAACATTTGTTTTTGTTTGGCACAGTTTCTCCTTGTAGACCTGGTCTACCAGGAGAGTTTGCTCTTGGTTCTATATGATGTTAGTGATCTTAAGTCTGTTGTTCAAACGATCTGTTTGCAAGGGGCAGCCAATCGGCAGAAAAATGGTTTAAATGGAGAAGAGCTAAAACTGCTTGTTTTGAACAGAGGATGAACCAAGGACCTGTACCATTTATTTATAAAATGAATGAGGATTATTTTGAACTGTAAACCCTGTCAAGTTACCGCACTAGAATCCAAAGAAGAAAAATACTGAGTTGTAAATATTCCAGGTCCACATTAACATGGGGTCTGTAGCAGCATAAAGTAGGTATCATTTATCCAGCCCTTATATTAGCTTTATCAGAAAGGTAGAGAGGCTCTGTCCCCTGAACCCAAACTGGGAGCTGGTTTACTAGAGTAAAAGCTCTGTCCCACATTTACCTGTTGGGAAATCTAGATTTAATGTAATGATAATTTCCTTAATTATGGATATATATGTGTTTTTCCCAACACAGTATTTTGGAAAACTGGTTAAGTTTTAATAGTAATGTGAACCAGTTATCAGTCATGTTACACTGCATTAAGAGTATTTCTTTTAGCTCTCTACCATTCATTGCTCTGGCAGCTATCACTGAATTAATTAACAGTCTTTTAAAAATCATGATGAAAGTTAGTTTGGTAAAGTGTTTGAGTTCCTGCCCCACTAGTCCCTGTACGTCATTTCATAATTATAGGGGTTATCACATTCCCATTCTTCTGTGAAAGTACTAGTGGATGTTTACTCTTTTATCCTGTCTCTGTTTTCTGTCTTAATTACTGCCTGGATAAAATGCTCTCTTAACTGAGCAGCAGTGAAACAGGATTTTGTTTTTGTCCTTGCTCTGCACCCTGTGGTTGTCTGGAACATTTTATTTTTTTAAATTTTTTTTCCAGAGTAGAGACACACAGGAATTACAAACCCTGCTTTGTGTTGTTTTGTCTTTGTCTTTAATTATTTTCTCTCTGTGTGTCCTTGAAAAGATTTTTCACCTCCAAGTCTAGACCACTGTGTCTGGGGAGGTGTGTGTGTGTTTGGAGGGTAGGGTGTATACGGGTATGACCACCAGAGCGTTACTGTATACACTGAAGACAGATGATCGTCTTTGTCTGAGGGGGATGTACCTCTAATATGCATGTGTCCTCTGGCTCTCTCAGCCTGGAGAGACACATTAACCCCCTGCTTTAGTTCCCTCTACAAGCTTAAATAAATTAGCAGGACTGCCTGTGTCAGCTCTTAATGTGGAGAAATTTGTTATGTGAGATAGAGGATAAAGCTGGCCTTGTGACTTTAATGTAAATTCAACCTACTTGAAGGATAAAATTCAATCAGAAAATTACACAACACACAACAAGGACTCACCATCCATTTCCATATGTCAGATTGTTTGTTAAAACAGTGTTTTTATAAAGTTTTATATGCTTGTTTGCATAAAGTTGGACATGCAAATGTCATTGCAACTCATTTAGAACTGAAACAAATTAATCTCCAATGAATTTGACTCAGGAGTAACTTGTTGGTTTCAGTTTGTGTCTCTTGTAACGTTTAGATTGTCATGCGTTGTTGGGAAAATGACATAAAGATCAGCTTTATTGGCAAGAAGTCACTATCGTCGACCACCGACATCAGAATCCATCACCATAACCCTAATGGACTGTATATAAAAGATGGACATAGCCAGTGCAATGTAATGTACTTTATTGGTTTGTGTAGTTCCATTTGGAGGTCTGAGCATTTTGACGATCACCATCTTTTCAAACCAGACATATAGAGTTTTGATTGGACTGAGAAACCATGCCCTGCTTTATTGTCTGTTTACTCGTTTATAAAAATTAGCAACATATTTTTTAACTAAGACTTTGAGGGATGAGAGACAAGGACAAAACGCAAACTGTATACAGAGTTCTGAAATATATAAACACGTGGGATGTGAAAAGAAGTCAAGAAATTCCCAGTACATCATGGAATGTCCCCTCTAGAGTCTGCGCCTCCAGCAGCCTAACCAAAAGATGGTTCAGGGTCAGCTGATCCAACCCTAACCTCTTTGCATATCTCATGTCTTTATCAAAAGGCCAAATCTGAAAACAAACCCTTAAAGTAGCAAGTGTGTCTCTGTTCTTAACCCAAACTGGGACCTGGTTGCTGAGGGCTCAGCCCTCCCATTCTACTTTTGAGAGGGAAGTGATCCGCTGGAAGAATTTGATACTTTAAGGTTTTTGATGAGGCCTGCTCAAGCACACAGAATAATGAGAAATGTATCTGCTGGTAGTTGCTGAATGATATCAGCAGCAAGAGATGACTCAAACAAAAGTGACATTAGGCACTTTTTTTTTTTAACTGAGATTTAATAAGGTAAGCCAAAATATATTTTGAGCCTGATCTATAGCAGAGAGCTGTCAGTGTGGTGGGCATCCACAACACACACAAAGAAACACTCAAACACACAGCCTCCAGGCAACAGCGCTGTGTAAACTGATGGATGGAGTTTATTATCAAGGTCAACTCGCTTAGCGTCTCTCTTCACTAAGCCCCGCCCTGTCTTTCCCTCAGGGCCTGATGGGTAATGAGCCATGAAATATTCCAGTAGTGGAGACAGAGGACACAGTCCTTATTTACCTTAGCTGATGGTGATGTAGCATTGTTTTCACACCCTCATATGTCTAAGAACCGATTCATCTGCTTCTGTCCATTTTCTGTAATTATCTTAGCCTTTTATTGTTATTATTGTGTCTTTATTTCTTTCTCTTCTCAGGACCCTTGGCAATCAAAAGTCTTTGATCCTGCATATTCCTGTCTCCCAATGTTGACATTGGGTGTGGGGGTATAGTCTGGTAAATTTGGGTCAGCAGCAGGGAGGGGAGTGGTATGAAGGGGGAAAGAGGGGACAGGAGGGGTTGTAGGCTCTGACCCCAGAACAGGTGTTACAGATCCCAGAGAGGTTTCTTTTAAAGGGTGGCTGTTGCATGTAACCCAGCAGAGAAAAAGAATGAGTCTGTCTGCGAGTGTGTGAGTCATATCTGCATTTTTAGGGGTTTAGTGGGTCATCGCTTTAGTGGGAAGTGCTTGTATGGATGTTGGTCAGTGAGATGTAGGTGGAACAGACCACCATGTGTAATTCATTGTGACAGCAAGATCAAAGCATCTCCAGAGGGCTCCTCTGAAGGGTTAGATATCACACAAATGGCACATGTAGATATGTGCTGTTTCCCTTCAGCTTCTGTACTCAAAAAACAATCAAAATAATGATCCCTTCTCCTTCCCCCTTCTGTTTCATCACTTCTTTCCCTCCTCTTTCTGTCTGCACTCAGAGGCTGAAGGATGAGATAGCAGAGGTGACCAGCGAGATTGAAAACCTGGGCCTGACTGAAGAGAGGTAAAGTATCTCTCAACTACCATTTGTGTGCTTGTGCGTAGGCAGCAGCACTCTTCTCAGCCTTTGTTTTGGAGGATTTCTAGTCAGAGAAAAGACCAGAAAAATCTGTCCAACCATTAGAGCACTGCCTTATGGGATTATTGATTAATCCATCAGATAATTAGCAGAATATAAACCCAATTAAGGTTGCCAGTGGGACATGAAAAGTGTTCAGACTGCTTATTTTGACATTCAAGGCAGATATTCACTGAGGATATGAATCACAAACTGGTTTCAGTCAACTGTTGTCAAAATAGTTTGACATGTTTATTGAGAGATGCATATTGCATAATAATGGCATAAAGACCATAAGACCACTAGAAACTTAGAAGATAAAGAAATCATGGTGAAAGAACATCCCGAAGTTTGGCTTTATTTCACAAAGAAACATGACAACACTGGCAGTTATGTTATGTCTTTCTTTTCTATATTTATCATATAATTCCCCTCTCATCCTTTATCCTTCAAGCTTGTCAGGTCCTCAACCAGAGGTCTGGGAGCTTGGGGCTCCTGCGCAGTATCTTAGCTGTTCCTAGGACTGCACTCTTCTGGACAGAGATCTTGGATATTGTTCCTGGGATCTGCCGGAGCCACTCGCCTAGCTTGGGAGCCACTGCACCTAGTGCTCCGAGTACTACTTGGACCACTGTTACCCTCACCCTCTACATCTTCTCCAGCTCTTCTTTGAGCCCTGGATACTTCTCCAACTTCTCGTGTTCCTTCTTCCTGATGTTGCTGTCATTCAGTATCGCTACATCTATCACTACGGCCGTCTTCTTCTGTTTGTCTACCACCACTATGCCGTCTGTATCTGGAAGTCCCACAGGATCTATGCCAGCTACTTGGTTATGGTGTTCCATGTATGCCCTGCCTGCTAGCATCTTCCACCCTGCTGTTATGTGCTGGATTGTCTCAGGGGCGTCTTTACACAGCCTGCACCTGGGGTCTTGCCTGGTGTGATAAGCCCCAGCCTTCATGGATCTTGTGCTCAGAGCTTGTTCCTGTACTGCCATGATTAGTGCCGCAGGGTCATGGGCAGGGCATCACCTGATCTTACCATTCAGCTGACTCCTCAGGACCTTCTACAAGTAGTTGCAGCTTTCCTAGCAGCCTCTTCGTGGTTCCCATTTGCCTGGGATCCCCAGGTACTTGTAGCTGTCCTCGATGTCTGCAATGTTCATTTTGTTCTTTTCTACTGCCAGACGCAGACCACAAGGCTGTGAGTTTTTGCTTGGCAGTTTCCAAGAGCAAGGCTTAGGCACCTCCCTTGATCTTGTATCTGAGAGTACTTCATGTACTCTCATGGAGGATCCGGGTTTTAAGCTTCACCATGATCCTGTCTTTCAGGCCAGTTCCTCTCACACTCAATTTCTATCACACTTGGGGCCAATCTCAGATGGAGATGATGATATCTCCCCCCTGACCTGTCGTCCTGGCTCCCCCTTGCTGTAGCATGTATGTTGTACCTCGTCAGTCTCTAGCTATGAGAGCAGTCCCTTCTTCCGAATGTTGGAACTCTGAACTACTAGTTGTTTCGCCATCAATATCGAAGATATTCGATATCGAAGATCCCATAGGTCCCTAGCATGGGGAGTCTAGCCTACGACCGTTACTGAATGCAGACGCCCCCAGGCGGGAAGTGAACTTGCATATATGCTGAAATAACTTTCTGCACAACATGGGCAGCATGACTGTTACTCAGGTTGTTATTAGAACATCAGTGCTACGCAGGCAGGTCTAACAGACATTTCCTTTGACTAAGAAAACAAAAAAAAAAATCCATCCAATATTTTCCATTCTAGGTGATAAAAGCCAGGCTGTTGTAACAGAGAGCTGGGCTGGCATTGAAAATTAAAATTCACAGGTGATGAATAAATATGATTTACACACTAATGGTTTATGTTTTTTAAAATGTTATTTTAGGAAAAACATGCAAAGGAATAGACAGATGGCCATGGGCCGAAAAAAGTTCAACATGGATCCTGCGAAGGTAAATACATTTATGCAGCAGTGCTTTCTTCTTTCATGTGAGTTCAGCTACTGATTATCAGTCTGTTTTAGTTTAGTTTAGGAAAAGTGTCCTCTTTCAGCTGACAATGATATAAAATACACAAAACCTTGTTTTTTGCATTTGTATCATGTATTAAAATTTAACTCCAGCCTTTTCCTGAAACACCATTAGTGTGGTTGGTCTTTAAATTTGACACCCTGACTCTGTTTTTTTTGTTTTTTGTTTTTATTAAAGCCATGTACTCTGTGTACTTTTTTTACTCCTGGTTGTTCGCACCCACAGTTTGACGCTACCCATGAACAACCAGGTGATAATGTAACAGGTGTTTTTCTAAAAGGAGATATTTTATGGATTATTGGTCTTGAATGGGTAGAAAGAAGAAAAAAACAACCAAAACTCCCCCATACAAAATTACTAAAATGAACTACAAACTTCTCTGAACTGCTTGTTTTCATTCAGTGTGTGATGTTCATTCTGGGGTGTGTGTTTTGATTTTCTTCCTCAGGGCATTCGCTTCTTGATCGACTGTTCGCTGCTGAAAAACACCAGTGAAGACATTGCCCAGTTTCTGTATAAGGGGGAGGGGCTTAACAAAACCGCCATCGGTGACTATCTGGGCGAGAGGTAAGCAGTATTAATGATGCCCTTTCCAGTAGACAGTTTTGACATGTCCTATCAAAAAAAAGGACAAAGTCTTGAGCCTATATGGACAATAGCAGGAGTTCAGACCATCTCACCTTTTATTCTTCACTCCTCTTTAAAAAGTTTATTCCTTATAAGTAATAAAAGGCCAGTTAAAAAAAACCCCACATCTTCTGTGTGTTACAGGAGAAATTGTGCTGTATACTGGATATAGATTTTGGTGCATAAGCAGTTCAACAAGAGCATCCTTTAATTTGATTCTCTTGAGTTGAACAGAGCTGACACAGTTTCTCTTCTGTTTACTCCTGTGTGCGTGCACACGTGGGTGTGTGTTTGTGTGTGGGATTTCGTGCGTCGTGCAGAGATGAATTCAACATCAAGGTCCTGCACGCCTTCCTGGAGCTGCACGAGTTCACAGACTTGAACCTGGTTCAGGCTCTCAGGCAGTTTCTGTGGAGCTTTAGGCTGCCCGGCGAGGCCCAGAAAATCGACCGCATGATGGAGGCGTTTGCTCGGCGATACTGTCACTGCAACCCCGGAGTGTTTCAGAGCATCGGTACGTGAGGAAGAAACGGTTTATGGTCACAGTTTTTACATATTACAGAGTGAAAATAAAGAAGTTGTTCAATAATAAAACCATTTTTCTTCCATCTTTTTTTTCATTTTTACAGCATTTATTCCATTCACACACTGTATGTAGGGCTCTGCAATTTGCCACTGAGCAGGAAAACACACCAGTAATGATTTATATTTAGTTTAATGCACATTTCCGTTTTTCGTTTAAATCAAGTCACCTTTATTTATTCAGCACATTTTAAACGACGGAGTTGATCCAAATGTATTATCTAATACTCACAGAAACATAACTAAAATATGAAGCAAAGCAAAAGTTAATAATAATTAATAACAATAATTTTAATGTCATTGTTTTAGGCCAGGACCTGCATATTAAACTAACTTTAATATAAAGATTTACCTGTTTTTTGTTGTGTTGGTAACGTATGTTTGCTTCTCTTTAGCTCAGGAACTTCTAGAGTTCTTGCTTTCTTACTCTTAGTGAGCACTCAGCCACATTCACCTACTCACCACACAGTTTTTACACATCACACACAAAGTCTCATACTGATGCACTGGGGGAAATTTGTAATTCACCATCTTGTTCAAAGATATTTTGACTTGCAGACACGAGGATCTTCCCTTCTGCTTCCTGACATGGGTAATATGAGGAATGTGCAAATAGGTGAAGGTTGTGCTGCTTACTGGACAGAGCACACAGGTTTATGGAAAAGTATAGCATGCGGTTTGTACGTAAGGTGTTATTTGATAATTAGCACACTGTTCTATGTCTGCACTGGATGGACCTGATAGTGAACAAATACAACCAACTATGACTGTAGTTGTCTGGGAATGTAATTTCTTTTAACTAACACTCTACACAAAGGTATAGCAGCACCTCAGTGGTTTTCAGTTAATCGTTTAAACTCACTGTGGTCTTTCTAACAGCCTGACTCTGAAAACGTACAAACACACACTGTGTCTGTTTGCAGATACCTGTTACGTGTTGTCGTTCGCCGTGATCATGTTGAACACCAGTCTACACAACCCCAACGTGAAGGACAAACCCTCTGTTCAGAAATTCACAGCAATGAACAGAGGAATCAATGATGGAGGAGACCTACCGGAGGACCTGCTCAGGGTGAGTGAAGTTCAGGAAGTTCACAGCGCCCTGTGTGATATACTCACCATGTGTTCAGGCCCTGTGAATTCAGACAGAACAGCACATCTGATGGTCCATTTGTGGGGAAATATGAATGCGCTGTGGAGTTTCTGGTGGACATTTAAACAACTTGGAAAGCACCGGCTGTCTGATGACTAGCTGTGATTGTTATGATTATAGCCATGAGACATTATATGATAATAGGTACTTGCAGCTGTTGTTTGTGACCTTGTGGTTTTGCAAGCCAAGCGTCATATTGAAGTTACATTCCTGATCAGTGTAACATTAGCACCTTACGTTCAACCACAAATGGAGCCAAAAGTCTGAGCAGAAACCACAAACGAGGAATGAGCTAGAGATGCATCATTTTTCTGTTCTGTGGTCGAGACGAGAAGAGGCTTTCTCAAAGATGTCAGTGTATTCAAACTGAACGGTCCAGACAGCACGTAAAAGTCCCTCATTACAACACATTCCACCAAATAATGCAGAAAAGCTAAATTCCAATTATTTTTTAAAAACATCTCAGGCTGTTAATCATAAATGGGTGTCTCAATGACTTAAAATTATTTACCAAGAAACTGCTTTTTTAAAGGAGTAAAGTGGGGGTTCAGCTTGTGGTTTCAGCTTTTTGAAATTCCTGGCAAAGGCTCAAGTGAACATGTCTAAAATGTATAAATGATACACTTTGAAAATGTTCCTGTGTTTGAGTTTTTTTTAATAAGTTATTATACAACAGTTTCACCCGTGTAAACACCATTTCTATTTATTTCATAGCTGGCTGAAGTAGCCAACACAATTTGTTGTTTTTACTTAAGTTTATTTTGATAAATCATAACCCCAGAGTTGAAATTTGCTGATAAATGTTTGTGTTGTAAATAAGTAGAAGTTAAGATAAAGGTAAGGATAAATAGTAGCTACCCGCATGATCTAAATGATGTCACCATCTATGCAGAACCTGTACGACAGCATCAAGAACGAACCTTTTAAGATCCCAGAGGATGATGGGAATGACCTCACACACACCTTCTTCAACCCCGACAGAGAAGGGTGGCTGCTCAAACTCGGTATGTGAACTCTGATTTGTTCAGTTTCTACAAACAGGTCGTCCCTCTAGTGGACCAGATGTGTAACAGCGGCTTTAACGAGACGACGAGAGATCTTTTTATTGAAACATTAATCAAAGTTGAGTGAAATGTTGGACATGTTTTACTCTCCTGTTGACGCTCTTCTTGTCTGTTTGTGTTTCATGGTTTTGACTTCAGGAGGTATGTATCCTCACACTCGCCAGCTTTAATGCACCGCTTTGCTTTCTGAGCTGCCCCTGCCCACCACCCCGTTATTTTTGTCCTGCCACTGCCTGTGTGCATTCACCTACCCATCACAGTTTTACTGTGATAATTAGTTTTCACATCCGGTTCACCTGCTGCTTTTCGCTATCATGTCCTGATGTGAAGGTATTAGCGCTTCACATCTGCCTTTAACTGCTGGACTCTTTGAACTGACTCACGTTTTAACCTCAGCTGTTGCAGTCAGTAGGCTTTACTTAACCTGCTGAATTGTGTCGTCAGTGTGCTTCAGAGTGTCGCCGTCAACATCAGCATTCAGTTTACTGATGTCATAACTCACCTTTAATCCATCCTCAGGTGGAAGAGTGAAGACCTGGAAGCGGCGCTGGTTTATTCTCACTGATAACTGTCTCTACTACTTTGAATACACCACTGTGAGTACTTCTTGTTTCACTGTGAAAATAAATGATTACTGGATGTAACTGTGGACAGCCTTATTAATAAATAAACTAATTTTTTTCCTTTCTGCTGTTTAAAAGGACAAAGAACCCAGAGGGATTATTCCACTGGAAAATCTAAGCATCAGAGAAGTCGAGGACTCAAAGAAGCCGGTAAACCGCTGCTCTCTTTGTTTTTGTCCTGTGATTGAAGAGATCAAAGTCTCAGAGTTCAGAAAAAGATGGCAAAAACAGGAGGGGACACAAATCTCTTTGGGTTTGCATCAGGAACAGCATCCCACATAAATCTGCCAAATCAAACATGCAGAGCTAACCGCTGTGGCGACCCTCTGTTAATAAGGGAGCTGCTGAAAGCAGCTTACAAAGGATTTCAAAAAGCAAAGCAAAAATAAACCGTGTAACCATGTCTCCAAAGTAATGATGACTTTGATTTTCTTGTGATACTAGTCCTTATTTTGCATGTTTTCCTTAGTTACTCCCATGATTATTATGGACGCATAATTAAAAACTAAAGGTAATAATCTTCAGCATGGACAGCCAAGTTTGTGAATGTGACAACCTGAGAACGAGGCAACATAGCATTTTGAAATTCATACCGTGCAGCTAATAAAAAGTTAGGACGAGCTTCAATCTGAGTGACCTCGACCTCAAGGTCAGACGCCAAGTTCTATAAAAATCTTGTGAACACAGTAAATCAAGAACGATATCACGTAGGAGTTTCAAAATGGTAACATACGTGCATCTGCTCACAAGCTGTGGGGTAGCTCTTGTGGTCGTCAAGTATTTTTAATTTTGGAGGAAGCCTAAAGTCGTACCTGGAGGAGCCAGAGATTTAGCCACTTTTTCCACTGGCTTCGAATATTTGATGACTTTATCCAAAAATAGGGTTTTAAAAAAAGTACATATACTACACAGGTGCAAGCCTGAAAAAGCATTAAAAAAAAACCACAACGTACCCAACGATAACTCCAGCAAATGAACAATGAACACGTGACCGTCCACCTAGAATCAGTGCACCCTCAACCTACTGATGGATCAACAGTTTATATAAAGTTTATATAAGTTTTTATTACAGCGTTGAACACGTTCAGTACAGAGTGAAAACAACCGATCACACATGTAACTTGTTTATTCGCCTTCCTGCCTCAACCATGATCTCTCTCAGAACTGCTTCGAGCTGTTCATCCCCAACCACAAAGATCAGGTGATCAAGGCCTGCAAGACGGAGGCAGACGGCCGCGTCGTCGAGGGAAACCACACTTTCTACAGAATCTCCGCCCCAACTGCGGAGGAGAAGGACGAATGGATCAAAAGCATCAAGTGAGTTTCAGTTTTGTTTTCTCTCCCTGCAGAGGGTCAAACTAATGATGACGATGAAGAAAAAGTGAAACTGCTGTCCTTCTCTCTGCAGGGCTGCAATCAGCAAAGACCCGTTCTATGAGATGTTAGCTGCTCGGAAGAAGAAGGTCTCCTCCCTGAAGGGGATGTAGAGCTGCTGAGGATAAAACAACCGCAAGCCTGTTTCAGGTGGACCTGACATTCCCGCTGCAGACCTGAACCTGGCGGAGGATTCACCTCTTAAAGCGGCTTGTCTTTTGTCCCCTTTTCAACAGACACACCTTCAGAACCAGCGCTCCCTTCTTTACAGGTCTGACCTCCTGCCGACACTTTATTTCCCATCTGCAGATAATGTTATTCAGACAGAGACTCTTTTGTTTGCTGAAACGTCACCTTTTTAAAGACCTGCTGCTGCGGTGCCCTCCGGTTAGCTCTCCCGCTCATCGTGAAACCTGCTGTAAGGACTGTTGACAAGCATTTGAATGACCTCTGAGCCTTTTCGCACAATCAGTGTTTGGTCTGCTTGAGTACAGCAAGTCCCTACAGCTGCTGAAAACAGAGAGAGCGCTGGAAATGTTGTCAGTTCACGTCTCCAGAGGAGTGAACTACGAAGCGAGGTTAATGAGTTAGCTAGGTAGCGAGCCTGAAGTTGTTTTGTTGTTGTTGTTGTTCAGAGTTTTGGTTTAAAATCAACAGCAAAAAGCAGCCCAGTGACAAACTAACAACACATAAGGCGGTACACGAAAACCTGCTCAAAAAAAGCTGTGTGTTTACAGTGACTTAAATCAAATTCAATTCAATTCAATTTTATTTACATAGCGGCAAATCACAACAACAGTCGCTTCAAGGCGCTCAAATCAACGATGCCGACAATACGTTTCAGTGCTCCTGCTTGTCTCTGCAGATCTTAATTCTCCATCGGATTAAGGTCTGCAGTTTTCCTAGCTGCAAAATCCAAAACGTAAATCTGATCTGGAAACCAGCAAGAAGTTATCACTTCTGTCCTGTGGTGTGGTCCACCATCAAGCTGGAAATGGACTGTCACCAGATTGCTCCTAAATCATTGTAAGGAGTTGTTTGTTTGTTTTTTAGTATTAGTATATTTTTTAGTATTTAGTATTGTTAATACAGTACCTATTGACCCTTGGTAAGTATATTAAAATTATGCCAATAAAAATAACAGAAATAGAAAACTTGCGATTGTTCTTCACCATCAAAGAAAAATACACATCACCATTCTAATTACACTCACAGTCACACCTACAGACACCTGTTAACCTAACACGCACACCTGGAGAAAACCCAAGACATTCATGCTGCAAGACAGCAGTCCTGACCCTCATAAAATAAGAATTCATATGATGAAGTGGCAAAGGAAATAAACAGTGAGTAATACTATTAATATAAATAAGTAAAGTTAATCACAGCTGTAGCAGACTGGAGTTTGGGTTATGTTGAAATGTGCCTGCTTCATAGTGCACTCCTCTGGACGGAAAAGTTTGAGATAAAATAAACGACTCCTCGTGAAAGCTGCACAGCAGCAGAATCTGAGATTCGGACTTTTCTGAAGCTGACGAAGATTCAGTTCAGGACTCAGTCGAGACTCTGAGCAGCATTTAGTTGCCATACATTTCCCCCCCCCCTGCCCCGTTTTGTTACTGCTGTTGATCTTCTGTCCATGAAAAGGAAAGTAAAACAGAAATAGTCAAATATTTATTTATCCACATTTCTTGTAATTTATTGTTTTTGTCTCAATAAAAGTTTGCAAAGAATCTTCTGCTCCTGTTTGAGTTCATTATTTTACTGAAGTTGTTTTATTGTACATTTGTAATGAATAAGTGATTTAAAATGAAGTGAGACTGGTTCCGATTAGTTTACTCTAAGCACCTTCTTAGAGTAAACTAATCTGAGGTTGTTCGACCGCATTTCCTCTGTAGTGTAAACACTAACGTGTCCTCATGCAACCTAAACAGTCATTAATGCAGGACATGGTGGCCTCTGCAGTCACCTGGAACCTCATCCTGCCAAACAGCTGCAATAAACTATATCTTGTATAACCTTTTTTTTTTTTAAATGAACTTTTTTATGGGTTTAATTCCAGCGTTCCCCTGTCCCACTTGACCTCAATCTAAAGCATGCCGCCAGCTACCGAACACAGGTTTCAATACTCTGTTCTCATTCATTTAAGCACTTATCTCACCTTTATCTAATGTAACTCATGAAGCAGCCAGTCATTCTAGCAGAGCTGTCAGTAAACTACGTTATCTGCTGTAAAAAGTTTCCCCACATCCTGCTAATGTTTATGTGACCTGATTACTCTGGAAAACCACAGCGCATATCAAGGAGATGAAAGCACGAGCACTGAAGCAGACCTGGGAAATTCCCCTTCCAGCGAAAGGTACGGCTGAAGTAGTACGTGTTAGAGCTGTGACAGAAGGCAGACTAATCAGACATCGGCTTATATGTCGCACTCCGCAAAATATTAGTACAAGTCGATCTCGCTGTGTTCTTCTCAACTGGCAAGAGTGGCACACGCAGTGTTCACTAGTCACTATTAGTCAACATTTGAATCACACTTGATGGCCGATTTGTGGTCAAACACCCACATAATTCCAAAATTCATGATAGGTTTTTTTCAGGGCTCCAAGTGGTTACAAACAAATTTTTATGACAGCTGTTAGAGCTTTACAGTCCACTGTGTGAGCTGTCGTCAAAGCAAAACAAAGGGACATCATAAAAAGGAAGGAAACTCGAGACTGTAGAAAGTGATTGATCTGAATGCAGTGGAAAACACAACACAGGGTTCAGGTACCTGAAGCTGCAAGAGGCTGAAATGGTTCCAAACTGAAGCCAGATCTTAGTGGAGGCACCAGGAAAGATGGAGGCTTATTGCTTAAACCTTTTTAACTTTATTGGGATTATTTTACGAAAATAGCTTCATGTTGTGTAATGACTTGAAACTAAGATCAAAAACACATCAAGGAAAGTATTCAAGTGAGAATTTGAATTAAGCATATTTGTTTTTGCAACCAGAGAAGTCTGCCCCTGGTGGCCATTAGAAAGAATGCACTTGTAAGGCATTTCTGCATTGGCATCACTGAAGCTGTCAAGGTCTGTCATTCCCAAAATAATTTGACTTTAAAGTCAAATAGATTTCTATTTTCTATTCAGTTTTTCTTTTAGAATCACAAAGGTTGGTTTTGTTTTTTGTTATTTAGACTAAAATCTTTACATTTAAAAAGAAACTGAACTAATTAAACGAGGCTGAATTGTTAATTTAATAAAGTGATGAATAGGATTCAACAAATAAAACAAAAGATTAAAAAAAAGAATGAAAACACACAAAGAATAAGAAACACAACAAAAGCCAACAGAGCAACTTCAGAAAACATTTTCTTTTATATTTAACATGTAAAAAACCAGCAGGAGTGGTCGTCAAGCAGAAAAACCAAAACAAAGAACTAAAAGACACCAAACCTCAGGAAACCTTTCACATCTTCTATCTGATCCGTGGTTCGTAACAGCTTTGTTTCATCTCTCGTTTAAAGCTTTTCCACATGAATCGCTGAACTCAGAAAAATCAAACACTTGAGGACACTTTA